AGTTATTGAAGGATGATGATGATTCGCTGGTAAGCAGAAGCTGGAGAATGCTTGAATCGATCTTGACCCAATTAGCCCCTGATTGTTCAGACGCTGTGTTCCATGGTGCTGTGCATCGGTAGGTATATATTTGTTGCTGCTGGTATACAATATCTTAGTGAATAGTGCCGTTGAGCACGTCATAGAAGGATAACCTCCCCCATAATCCGCAGAGAAGATCAGATAGATCAAAGTATCTCTAACTTGGACCTGGCTATATCTTGCCACTAACTTAATACGTTACATACGAATACATAGCTATGACACATGATATCATGTCTCGCCACAGCACGATGACTATATGGAATAAGGTTCGGAGTACAATTTGATCACAATCTCATCTAGTCTCAATTGCAAAGTACAAAAACCGTGGTATCATCAATCATAAAAAGTAGACATAGACTGGCTAACGAGTCTCCCTCTGGCCAGAAAGTGTTCCTGACTGGATCTCCTGCTCACCCTTATTCGCTATGGCCTCGTTCTTCGCTGCACCTGCTTCATGGCCGAATGCCTTGTCAACAGCTGCATTCATTGCTCCCCGCAACGACTCTCCAGCACCCTATTAAAGCCCTCGTTTAGTACTCATTCCTATTCTTCAGAGAACGTAGCAGATGACTTACGTGAATGCCAGCAATGGCTGATTTCACACCCCGGCCAATCTCCTCGCCCTTGGCTGCTGATCGGCCCTGACCCTCCGCGGTATACTGCTTGTTTTCAGTGCTGGGGGCATATTCAGCCCGGTAGTCCTGCTTATCGTAGCTGCTGGATCCCGGGGCGGGCTGGCGGCCCACTCCGCCGGCAGTCGCGTATCCGGACCCAGTCGCGGGGTTGTACCCCGATACATTGGGGTCATATCGTGAGCGGTTGTCTTCCACTCCCGGCGTTCCGACGGAGGTGGTGGAGGAGCCCTGCGTGACACCCGCACCCGCACCAGCTCCAGTGGTATCGGTAGGATTGCGAGAGGCGCCTGTACCTGTCTCGTTGGTGGTCTTGTTGGTTGTGTTGCCGGTCTGGCTGTCGACACGGGGGTCGAGCTTGTTCATGACTGAGGAGCTGTGAGGGCCAGCGTTGGAGCTGTTCGGGTTGTTGTAGCTCTGTGTGGCGCCTGGGTGGACGTTGCCGGAAGAGGCCATGCCTGGGGCGTACTGGGCGCGGTTGTTCAAATCGCTGTCGACGCGGGGATCGAGAGTGTTGGCGACGTTGGAGTTATGCGGTCCAGCTGACTGGGAGGCAGGTCCAGTAAAAGGGTCTGCGGTGCTAGCTGCAGTGTTGACGTTGGTCCCAATTGGAGTGGTGGAGTTGGGGTCTTGGTTGTAGCCTCCGGTGGAGGACTGGTAAGGTGTTTGGGTGGTACTCATGTTGTAGATCGGAATTTATAGGTGGGATGATATGAGATAGTGTTCGGATTGCAAGTCCGTCGAATACCATGGTAGATGTTCTTATAGTTTTGCCCCGTGTGATGCTCAGCACCTCGACATCATCGCCTTGACCGGTGACGTCAGGCTGACCCCATATTCTGTCGGGGACCACATGCTTTTTCGATGTGATCCCAAGTGGTACTCCGTAGATCATAGGCTGTCTGAGTTCAAAAGTTTGATCAATTCAGAACGAGGCCAATTCAAGTCAGTCTGAACAGGGTGAGGGTCGTACAATTGCTCAGTGGCTGCAACTCTCTATTTCCCAAAAGGGAAGATCCTTATCGATAAGACGGAACGCAGAACTACGTCATGAATGCATAAATGAGCATATGCATTGCATAAGTCACCAGTACAATTATGCCCTCTCCCAGTTCTTGCAATGAGCCAATGACCCTATTAATTTCTAGATTTCTTCTAGAACTAGAGACAAGTCCGTTGATTTGCGGAGCCAAACTCTGTCTCTAGATTAGCTCCTTTGGATCGTCTTGAGTGAGACAAGTGAACAACGGACTGATAACTGAATGCAGAATATCGGCCGTGCCGAGGCACTTTTGCTGCAAGTCAAAGGATGCGAGAAAAGGTAGACTGATAACCGAAGCCTATATGTGAAGGATCGCTCCATCTTTCACTGCACATTTTCCATCTTTTGCAACTGTAGTTCCATCTATATTTTCATCTTTGGTCCTAGCAAACAGACAGCCAAAATGCCCATTTCAAACAGACAGCTCATCTACGCCAACACGCCGTCCCCGGCCATTGACCCCTCCCTGACCAACGGAACCTTCAAGCTCAACACAACCTCCATCCCCGACCAGATCCCCAATGACAAAGTCCTCGTACGCGTGCACTACCTCTCCCTCGACCCGGCCATGCGCCAATGGCTCACCGCAAAACGGTCATACATTGCTCCCGTTGAGCGCGGCAGCGTCATGCGCGGCCAGAGCATCGCACAGGTGATCGCGGTCGGAAGCGGACTACAATCCCAATACAAGGTCGGCGACTGGGTCGTCGCTTACTCCGGGTGGCAGGAATATTGTCTGCTGGGGCCCAAGGAGGCCCAGAAGGTGGTCGTCCCTCCCGGCTGCCAACCCACGGATGCCATGTCGGTTCTCGGAATGACGGGGTTGACTGCTTACTTTGGCATGATCGAAGTCGGACAGCCGAAGCCTGGCGACACCGTCGTGGTGTCTGGTGCCGCCGGCGCGACCGGCATGGTCGCCGGACAGATTGCCAAGGTCAAGGGAGCTAAGAGGGTTGTTGGCATTGCGGGCAGTGCCGACAAGTGCGAGTTCCTGGTCAAGGAGCTCGGATTCGATGCGGCGATCAACTACAAGGATAAGGACTGGAAGAAGCAGTTGAAGGAGGCTACACCGGAGTACATCGATGTGTACTTTGACAATGTCGGAGGAGAAATCCTCGATGCTTGTCTGGCGCGGGCCCAGAAAGACTCTCGGTTCGCGATCTGCGGTGCGATTAGCCAGTACAACTCGGCCAAGCCCCAGGGGCCTGCGAGCTTCATGAACGTCATTGTAAGTTTTTTGCTGCTGGGCGTGTGGAGCTGATCCATTGCTAACAGTGTATTGCAGTCGCAACGGATCACAATGAAGGGGTTCATTGTGTTCGACTATGCGAAGAAGTATGACATTGCTTTGAAGGATCTCTCGACATGGTTGACCCAGGGGAAGATCAAGCGCAAGGAGCATATCATCCGGGGTGGACTAGAGGCGGCGCCTCAGGGTCTAGTGAGCCTTTACGAAGGTGCCAATACCGGCAAGATGATGGTCGAGGTGGCGCCTGTTAGTGAGGCTATTGGAGCCAAGGCCAAGCTGTAAGGTTATACATAAGTAATATAAGCTTGCTACAGAATATCTATAGCGTGAATTGGTTCAGTCATGACTTGCAATTTGTGGAAGAGCGTATAAAAGAACTTTATACTAAGGTAGAAAGCGGGAGTGCAACATGTATTGGGACTTTGCGTTGATAATCGGTGCTGCCACAGTAGATCAGGTACACAGACGACAGCAACAAAATGAATCGTCCCTAGATCGGGTTCGGACTGATGCAGGACATTAGTCCGGTCTGAGTTCGCGGTTATCAGCGACATCATCTGTCTACCAAATAGCGTACTCCGGATCGACGTCATGGTGATGAACCACACAACATTGAGGGGAGTGAATCCTGTCTGGACATTCGAGAATCTTGCCTGACATGCCGCAATCGTCTCATCCATGACGATCTAGATGAGAGAAATGCCTTTTATACACTCTAGAAATCCTGTTTTACTTTTGCAGACGTGCCGACTGTTGCAGTGATGATGCGCCCAGTTGCTCCCCTGCGAGCTGTCTCTCGCCAGATACTTCAACCACGTATCTGCCACCGAGCTGTATATAATAAAAACTGCTTGTCTTCGTTACAGAATTATCCTAGCCATTTCTCTGCGTTTACGTCCAGGCCTTTTACCGCTACGTCACTTCGATCTGTTTCCGAAAAAGTCAGAATGGAGGCACAGAGTAGTAACCAGACCTTTAAGCTCGACAATCTCTTCAATGTCAAGGGAAAGGGTATGCGACGTTCGTTCTTCTTGATACCAATGACCAGAGATACTAACCTGGACAGTGGCTTTAATCACCGGCGGAGGCTCCGGCATCGGTCTGATGGCCACTCAAGCCCTCGCTGTCAATGGCGCCAAAGTCTACATCACCGGACGCACAGGGGAGAAGCTGGACCGCGTCGTTGAGCTATACGGAAAGGACATCCCCGGCGAAATTATCCCCATCACAGCGGACATCACAGACAAAAAGTCAATCGAGAGGCTCGTGCAAGAGATCTCCTCGCGCGAGTCGCATCTCTCCATCTTGATCAACAACGCCGGAATCTCCAGCCACTCACAGACAGTGGAGCACGAAGAGCCCGCTGAGCTGCGGAAGAGCCTGTTCGACGACCCGGCCTCCAAGCCCGAGGAATGGGAGAGCGTGTTCCGCACGAACGTGACGCAGCTGTTCTTCACCACCACCGCGTTCCTGCCGCTGCTGGTCAAGGGTTCGGAGAAGGAGTACGGCTGGTCCAGCACGGTGATCAACATCTCGTCGATATCGGGGATCGTCAAAGTCTCGCAGCATCATTTTGCGTATAATGCGTCCAAGGCGGCGGCGATCCATCTGTCTAAGATGCTGGCGCATGAGATTAGTTCCTCCAAGCTGAAGATCCGGGTGAATAATATCGCCCCGGGTGTGTTCCCCAGCGAGATGACGGCGGGGGAGAGCGATGAGAAGCAGAAGAGCTTTATCCCCAAGGAGAAGTACGAGCAGAAGGTGCCGGCGGGCCGGCCGGGCAAGGACGAGGATATGGCGAGTGCAGTGCTTTTCACAGCGACGAACCAGTATCTCAATGGGCAGACGATCGTGGTCGACGGGGGATACGTCCTGGCTGCAGGCACTGTCTAATGACTGAAATGTGCAATGAATATGTAGCATAGCCATAATCTCGTTACAACGAAGAATGATATCCTTCTCAGTGTCTGGACCAGCCATGACTACTTATTAATTACAGCCCCATCTCTCCAGCCCGACAAACCCTCACTCCATACATCCACTCAGACCGGAGCACCTGCGACGCCGTGATGCGCCGCCTCGGATTCGGATCCAACATCGCATACACCACATTGCGACACCGCTTCTATCTCTCAATCAGCATCTACTATCTATGCCGGTCTTTCACAAAGCGGCACCTACCTCTCCCAACCCTTCAATAGGCGCATACCCTTCCTCCCCCTTCCGCCCAACAAGATACTCCCGGTACCGCCCATCCTCCTCCTCGCTCGCCATGCGCCACAGCAGCCGCCGACACCGCATTGCCATATACACCAGCCCCGCAGCCCAGACATCGCCCGCCCGCGGGTCGAACCTCTGGACCTCGCACAGCTCCTCCGGCGCAATGTAGGGTATCGTCCCAAGCAGTTTCCGGGGCGGGGAGTATGAGTAGGCCACCGCACCCTCAGCCTCGGTATCCGAGTCAGAGGCCTCACCACGGGGCCGACACACGGCGCTCCCAAAGTCGGCCAATTTCACCGCCCCGTAGACGGTGAGGAGGATATTCTCAGGTTTGAGATCGCGGTGGGCGATGTCGCGGTCGTGGAGGTAGGCGATTGCGCGCATGGTCTGCTTGAAGAAGCAGTTGATGTCCGTGAGGGTGAGCGTGGCGCCTGCTGTTGCGATGAGGGTGCAGAGGTCGCCGGCGGCGCAGTACTCCGTTACCAGACAGAGCTCGCCGCGGTCGTTGAGGAGGGAGTCAATGGTGCGGAGGATGTTGGGGTGGGAGAGGGAGGAGGAGAGGGATTGTTCGAAGCGGTGGTGGGTTAGGATTGTTGGGCTGGAGGAGCGGCGGAAGACCTTGATGACGTGGAGTTGTTTGGAGGATGTACCTGTAGGACTGGAGGTGGGCCTGCGGCCGTACAGGCGCACGGAGCTGAACGCGCCGTAGTGAAGGATCTCGATGCAGGTGCCATACTTTTGTGCCAGGGAGGAGGGTGCCGGTGACGGTGATGCGGAGATGCTGGAGTAGACGGAGGAGGAAGACAGCAGTAGTGGTCGTTGTTCCGGACTGCAAGAGTTCTTGGGCGCCCAGCAGCGGATAAAGATGTTGGGCAGTTTCAACCCTTCGAAGAAGTTGTAGGTCTCTCTGGGTTCTTGGGATACCAGGTCATGGTAGTGATGGTTGTCATGGCCGTGACTGGGGTTCAGCCTGGGTATGGGCGACATGACTGTTACTGAGTGTATAACCTGAACCTCAACCTCAACACATCGTGATACATCCGAAGAAGCGTGTATTTATAACTCAAAAAGACGAATAGCAGTGCCATCCATCTATATGAGCGTGCCAGAGTCCAATCAAGGGATGAGGATAAGCGGGAGGAGAAGGCAGGAGTATATCCGTAGTATCGACTGTTGTACAGCCCGTTGTTCCACAGAAAATGCCTCAGATAGCTCAAAATGGCGGATCATATGCTCATAGTCCTGGTACTTGACGTGGCTTGGATACATACAGCCGCAGATCCATTGGCAGATGATGAACCGTTGAAATCGCTCATCGCCCTTGTTTTGCCCGTCTGCAAGTCATGGTGATCTCCCATGATCTGTGCGACTCTCAAATAGGAGTTGTTTGCTGCATGATGGTACTACTAGCTTTGCTGCTATCTTGCCTGTCAAGCATCAAGTATAATAACAGCTTGACGTCCCGTCGCGGGTCTTGTCCGGAGCCAGCCATCTGCTCACCATTGACTTGACTGTCAATTGCAATAATCAATGCTGTGCTCCGGTCAGGCCGTCTTCCATCTCTCTTGACAATCAGAAAAGAGCTAGTGTCCCTCTCTTAGCTGTCCCATCACAGGCAGCAACAAATCGAGCTCTATGGACACGAGCTATCGACCCCGTCTCATTGTCTGCTTAGCAGACGGTGGCCGAAAAGGGGCGGAATGAACCATGGTGGAGAACGGTTGCAATCAGTAAGTACATGGCTACTTTGGAGTCAGTCAGTCTAAAGATCTCACCGAAGTGGAAGGAATCTCTTACGTGCTGTTTCAATCAGCGATTTGCTCAAATAAAAGACTCATGACAGAAAGACGTGGCGGGGGAGTTGGCTAGTGTTCCGCTGAGGCATTTTCCGGACGAAAGAGAATCGAGAAGACCACAGTTGCAAGCGACAGTTGCAAGTCTCGCTTCTTCTCACGATATCGGTCTACTTGTTATACTACTGTGGATCATGCACTAATCTCGTCATGCACTAATCTCGTCTATCTAGAGAAAATTTCCGATGTCAGTGTGGCGCTCCTGTTAGCGCACTTGTTGAGCTTAATTAGAGCAGCCTCGAGATGATGGTGGCTTGAGGCTGGCATGCTGAGGGATTAATCCTGGCCAGAAAAATCTCTTTTCCTGATGAAGACCAGAGCAGTTGTTTTCAAATTGCGATCCCAATTCTGTCGAGGCTATAGTATCTGTTCACAGAAAGCACATGGAGTGGTACATTTTCTCTGGAGGAGAAAATTCCCTCACTGATCCCCTCTGACCACCAATTGCTCTATCACTCCTCACCGTGGCCGATTCATCCCAATTCCAGTCTATTCTACGAGGAATCGGTTCTATCCGTCGACACGAATTGATGCTACTGACGTTCTCAAGATCATTGACCTAGAACCATCGCAGCTATGCTTCAATTACTCCGTACAGCAAAGGATACACGCAGAGCGTACTCGGACAGTGCCATCTCTGCTCTCCATCCTCCCCCAAGTCCCCATCATGTCTTGTCATCATCCATTCTGTACACAGTCTTACCCATCCCGTACCGGGCTTCTGATCTCATAATTTCTTTTTGCCTCCACAGGTCTATCCCTCAAGCGACAGTCTAGTGTCTGTGGTGACCGAAATCCTTTGTCATGGCTTCCCCCAATTGATCAAAATCTCGCATCGTAGTATCTGATATTACCCATTCGTTTTCTTTTATCCTTCCTAGGTTAGTAGATCTGCTGGTTTTCTCGCATATAAGACAGCCATCATGCCTGCTCCATGGCCTCCTCCATCCTTTCACCTTCCCTCTATTTTCCCGTCCCTCCCAGAGCCTCCGCCATAATTAGACAGCAGATCTGAGTGTTCAGTCTCATACACACTTGAAATCGCTGCTCTTGACATGGCTCAGTCTCCTGCTTCCTCCGAGCCTTCAAAACAGGATCTTGAATTGGGATTTGATAACCCTAACGAGTCCCCTGATGATCGAACGGGTCGTACAACCCGCATCCAGTTCGATGGTGCAGTACCACCGGAAGAGGGAAGTGGAGGGATCTACCACTCCCGACTTAGTCGGCATCGTTCTCTGAGCCGGGACACCATTCGGAGCTCTCACGATGCCTCCCAGAGCAACAAGGCCGCCGGGATACCTATCGAGTTCAGGACCCTTTCGTTTCAAATCTCCGAGTCCCAGAACGCTACAGAAGCGGCCATCAAAGCAAGGCAGGCCAAGGAGGATAAGCCCGATCAAGACTATTTCGAAAGCTTGGACTATCACATCCTGCAGCCCGACAGACTCTTCCAGCAACTCAACGTGGACCCCCGGTCCGGTCTCAGCTCGGCTGCTGCCACCTCTCGACTCCAGCGGGATGGGAAGAATGTCATCGCTCACCATAGCGAGAACTACCTCAAGAAGATCTTTTTCTATGTCTTCGGCGGCTTCTGCTCGGTTCTGTGGATCGGCGTCATCATCTTCTTCATATGTTGGAAGCCCCTCAGCAACCCACCGTCCGTCCCGAGTCTTGCCATGGCCATCCTCGTCCTCATCGTCATTTTCCTGCAAGCAAGCTTCTCTGCCTTTCAAGACTGGTCAACGAAACATGTCATGAACTCGATCCTCAACCTGCTCCCATCTGAAGCCCTTGTTGTGCGGGACGGGAAGCAAATCCGCGTGCCATCCACAGACCTTGTTGCCGGCGACATTGTCCATGTTTCTATCGGCAATAAAGTCCCCGCGGACATGCGTCTCTTCCAGACATCTGGAGACGTCCGCTTCGACCGTTCCATTCTCACAGGAGAGTCGGACGAGATCGAAGGTGCCATCGACGTGACTGACGACAACTTCTTGGAAACCCGTAATATCGCTTTCATGGGTACAAGTGTCACCAACGGCAATGCGGTCGGTGTGGTGGTACTGACCGGTAGTCGGTCTGTCATGGGCCGCATCGCCAAAATGACCACTGGCGTCAAGGAGAAACCGACGTTGATACAAAAGGAGATCACTCGTTTTGTAACCATCATCATCTGCCTGACCATCACACTGGTTCTGATCATCCTCTTCACCTGGGTCGGTTGGTTGCGTGTGGATCACTACCAATTCATGAACGTCGTCGCGATGCTGAACAACGTGATGGGCTGCGTCGTTGCGTTTATCCCCGAAGGCATGCCCGTTGGAGTGGCGCTCACCCTTATGATGATAGCCAAGCGGATGAAGAAGACCAACATTCTGCCCAAGGGACTTGCAACGGTAGAGACCCTGGGTTGTGTGAACGTTATCTGCTCAGACAAGACGGGCACATTGACTCAGAACAAGATGTTTGTCAGGTCACTCGGCCTGATCGATCAAGAGCTCAACGTAGAGAAGCTGCTTGGAGATCAGCGGGGCTCGACCGAGTGCCCCGAGGCGCTCAGTATCCTTCTTCGGGGCTCGCTCCTGTGCAACGACGCCTCTTTTGATCCGGCGACAATTGGACTGCCAGTGAATGACCGAGAGGTGACGGGCAATGCGACCGATGCTGCCGTCCTACGGTTCGCCGAGCTTGCTCAGTCCAGCGGTCATTCTCAGTATGCCCAGTACGAAAGAGTCCACCAGATTCCCTTCAACTCGAAGAACAAGTGGATGCTTACCATGCACAAGGATCCCCAGAACAGCAGCAGCTATCTCACCTATGTCAAGGGCGCACCAGATGTTCTTCTGCCACGGTGCACATCGTACTACTCTGGGATTGATAGCAAAGTCAAGCCCATGGACGAGAATGCCCGAAGGATGTTCTCAGACTTCCAAGCGTCCCTGTCCAAGCGCGCAGAGCGTGTCATTGTGCTCTGCCAACGGTACTACACCCCATGTGCCGCAGTGGGATCAAACGACTTCAATGATGAGGTCCTGGCCCGGGGTGTCCACGACCTGACGGTGATTGGCATCTTTGGCATCGTCGACCTGCCCCGTCCCGAGACCGCGCGGACCATCGCGGCCTGCCGCCGTGCAGGCATCCGCTTCTTCATGGTGACCGGCGACTTTGGCCTGACAGCGGCCGCCATTGCCCGGGACGTGGGCATCTTCAGCGGTACGGCGGAGCCAGACACTGTCGACGACCTGCGGCCATTCACCAGCGACGACGAAAACGAGAAGCAATCCCTCCGCTCTCGACGCAGTCTCCTCATCGACGGCCCACACATATCCTCCCTCGACGGTGAGCAGTGGGACGCCGTCTGCCAATACGAAGAGATCGTCTTCGCCCGCACCTCGCCCGAACAAAAATACCGCATCGTCGAGGAGTTCAAGGCGCGCGACAACGTCGTCGCGGTGACCGGCGACGGCGTCAACGACGCTCCCGCACTGCGCACCGCGGACGTCGGCATCGCCGTCGTCTCCGGCAGCGACGTCGCCATCGAGGCAGCCGACCTGGTCCTGCTCGACAAATTCGACTCCATCGTCGACGCGATCCGCCTCGGCCGCCTGGTCTTCCAGAACCTGCAAAAGGTCATCGCCTACCTGCTCCCCGCAGGCAGCTGGTCCGAGATCTGGCCGGTGCTGATGAACGTCTTCTTCGGCGTCCCACTCCCCCTCAGCTCCTTCCTCATGATCATCATCTGCGTCTTCACCGACCTCTTCCTCTCCCTCTCGCTCATCATGGAGAAAGAAGAATTCGACCTCCTCAGCCTCCCGCCCCGCAACCACAAAAAGGACCACCTCATCAACCTCAAGATCTACGCCCAATCTTACCTCTTCATCGGCGTCATGGAGACCATCATCGCTCACTCCATGTTCTTCCTGTACATGTACAAGAAAGCAGGCATCCCCTTCCACGCCCTCATCTTCGCCTTCGAGTCCTACTCTGACGGCTTCTACGGCTACTCCGCCGACCAGCTTAAACACTTCAACAACGTTGGCCAGTGCGTCTACTTCGTCACCCTCGTCATGCTCCAATGGGGCAACATCCTCTCCGTCCGCAACAAGCGCCTCTCCATCCTCACCGCTGACC